GCATCTGGCTTTCACTAATGGATGAACATGAGAGGATAGGGCACTCTACCCAGACCCCGTGTTGTATGAACCTAAGCTAATCTCCAAAGGCCAATGGAAACAATAACAATTCCCGGGAGAGCTACAGATTCAGGAGGAAAAGCAGAATCGAGGAGAATGAATTCATTCGTACACAAAATGAATTCACCCTTCCTATCGACTGGCCACAAACACGTGTGATCTGCACTGTCTGTTGTAAAGCGTTTCACAATTTTATCGTGTTTCACAAATGCACAGTTTTTTTCACGCTCTGTGTTTTGTAAGAGAAGTGTTCTGCAAACAGCGACGTCCCATAAACAGGCATGAAGTGATTTACCAATTTTACCTGGGGAATCGAGTGAGTCAGAAGGTTGTGAGTTCAAACCCCACGTCCGGACTTGGAATTGATATAGTCTATGCTGACTTTTCAACGCAGTGATGGGTGTGTGCTGCATTGTTTCCTTACACCACACACTTCTGTTTACCGAATTGTGAGAAGCAACTCGGTGCTCAGGCGATTGGTGGATCGCTTTCCAGGGGTAATAATCCCACCCAAAAAAAATCCACGGCTGTTTGTGGGTCACTGCTGCCATGCTTCGCTCGCCAAATACACAGTCAATTCACTTTACAGTGTATTTTGTGAAGCACTTTGAGATGCCTCAATGATGTAATATCAAAAACAAGCATTATTATTGTTGGAAGTGTTGTCCTTCGGATGAGACATTAAACTGAGATCCCATCTGATTGTCAGGTTGGATGTTGAAGTTCTCGGGCACTGTCTGAAAAAGAGAAGGGAGTTTCTGTCAGGGCCAACAATCTCCCAAATAAAATTGTTTGTTCACTTCATTGCTGTTTTGGCCCACATTGCCGTGCTCAAATTGGTTGCCGCATTCTCCCACAACATGCACAGTCACTATAGTAATAATAATCCTTGCATTTGATATAGCGCTTTTCACATCTTCTAGACGTTTCAAAGTGCTTCACAGAATATACTGTAAAGTACATTGACTGTACATTTGTGGGCGAAATTATTATTATCATTCCGTAAAGCTGTTTGAGACGTCCTCCTGTTGTGAATATAAGTTTTATTATTTTATTATCGTTGTTCCTGACATTGTACCTGTGCCTTTGACTGTCAGATGATGTTCTAACATTAAGCTATGAATAGACAATAGAGTGAATCCATAAAAAACATCCTTTCAAGTGGTGCGGGTGATACAGACCTGACCATAAGAGTATAGTGTACCCTGGCACATAGTTGCTGAAGATATTGCTGTCGAACTTAATTGAACTAGCATGTGTGCCTCCTCTATAGCGCTCGATTGCAGCAGTGAAGTAAGTGGACGATAATCAGATGTTCTGAGACACCCACACTATCTAGTGAAACACGGAGTCAAGACGTGTTAGGTTGGTGTTGTTTTTAGAGGCAGCGATGAGCAATTCGTTTGACCTTGACCCAAGGCTCCCGCGTTAGATGAGGACCTGGATCCCACCGAGTCTTTACAAAGATCCCAGGGTCCCTCAGCAAAGGAAATTTTTGGAGACAGATAACAATAATAATAATTTTGCTTGAGGCTGGTTAATTTTATATTCCTGTCCTGCAGCTCCAAGCTGAGTGGCGGGTCTGTATCTACACAACCAATCTTCAAAACCCGCGTCAGCTTTTCTTCTGATGAAAACAACTTGAATGCTGAGTATGTCTTTGTTATTATAGATCAAGGAGACCCATAGCGTAGTGGTTAGTGTCTCGCCTCGCAAGCGAGAAGATCCAGGTTCATTTCCCAGGTAGAACAAAGCCTCAGGCAAGTTTGCTTACTCCACACACTTCTGTATACACTTCAGCACCTTGGGACGCCCTCCCGATGTGAAAGGCCCTATACAAATGTAATTTTGTTGCATACCTAGCAGTAAGTAGGAACTCGGTTGTTAGTCGATTGGCGGATTGCTTTCTAGGGGCAATGGTTTCTGCCAGTGCGGTTAGCAAGTGGTCTGGTATTCTCAGCTATTCCCTGACACCAGGTTACACTGCTTGCTATCTAAGTATACAACTATAAACAAGTTCACCCACCCAGGTGTTCACATTGTGTGAACAGCCATCTTCGGATAAGAAGGACAACCGTTATTATCGAGTACTTACGGTCACCCTGTCAATCTGCTTTCAATCTCCAATGTCCTAATATCCTTTCAAAGTTATTATTTCTTCAGACATTGGGAGAAACTCCATTCTCTTTTCGAATAGTGCTACTTATCATCCACCTGAACAGGTGGTCAAGACCATGGTTTAACATCTCATCCGAGCTACAGCATCTCCGACAATGCAGCGCTCCACACCGTGGCTCTGGAGTATCGACCCAGACTGTGAGCCCAATGTCTTGACGGGGATTTGACCCCTTATCCCGCCCCCCCTCCCCTATACACGCACACGTGCACACACAGTTATAACATAGGGAGTGAAGATGGCGTGGTGTGACAATGCACAGGCAGTGGTTGTGGCAATATAGTGAGAGCAGCCCTGTATGTAATCAAGTGATCGAGGACCAAAAGGGCTGAGCCACCCTGAGTAATTTCCATTTGGCAGATTGTATATGAAATAAATCCACTTACCCAAAAAGTCAATTTCCACACAGAAACTAGCTTCTAATTGTTCCCATTTCCGAACGTTAAAGTAGGATTCAATTCCAATCTAACACTTCACAGTGATACTGATGGTCTTTCTCTCACACACACCATGCTTGGAGTGGCTATCCGGTTTGTTATCTCTCTCTCTTGCTCTCTCACATTAACTCTCTTCCTGTGTGAATCCAAGACAAACGGAGAAACTGTGTTTTTAGAGCAGGGGTGACGGTGGAGGCCAATTCTAAAGAGTTTCAAGCTGGGTTTTGAGTGCTGCTGTGTTATTATTTCGGAGGTATCTTTAATTCATTGCTGCTCTCAGAGAGAGCACAGCAAGAAAAGGAAAACATTAGACAAATACCCATCGCAAATTAAGCTCATTAACTCCAGTACAGTCCTGGGTCTTGCTGCACTGTTGGAGGTGCTGACTTTTGGATGAGACGTCAAACCAAAGTCCTGTCTGCCTGTTTAGGTGGTTAAATGGCACGATTCGGAAAGAGAAGGGAGTTTCTCCTGTTGTCCTGTACCTAGAATCCCCAAATAAAGTCAGCCATTGACCTCTTGTAGGATATTGCTCTGCACAAATTGGCTGTCATGTTTGTCCACAAATGCACATGTTCACTTCACACCACTTTACATGTAAATCCTGTGAAATGCTTTGAGATGATAAGGCACTAAATCAAATGTAGGGTGTATTATCCATCATAACAGAGGACATCCCTTTTTACATCATAATAATAATAATCTTTACATTTAGTACAGTGCCTTTCACATGAGGAGGATGTCCACAGGATATACTGTAAAGTGTAGTGACTATGGGTTGTAGGCGAATGTGGCAACCAATTATGCACACAGCTATGTCCCATGAACAACCATGAAGTGAATGACCAATTTAATCTGGGCAAGTTTCCTTACTCCTTTCTCCATAGATGCTGAGTGTTCCCAGCGACTTCTGTTTTTGTTTTCACTTTACAGTATATTCTGTGAAGCGCTTTGAGATATCTAGAAGATGTGATGAGGCGCTGTATCAAATGCAAGGATTATTATTATTATAGATCTATATATATATATATATATACAAAATGACCCTCACACTTAAATAATTAATTAAAATGAAGGGAGCAGGTAAGAAGGACGTTTGAGTTAGTGATTCTTTCCAAATGTTTGCCTTTCGAAAGGGTTTTGGGTGGTGCAACCCTCTTTTCTCTATCAGTTGCTAATGAAGTTCTTTAGCTGTTTGCACAACTGTTTGATTTGCCAAGATTGGAGATAATTAACTCAGTCTTCATCTGGCAGACACCCACTGCTACTGAAGCCTGTCGGGTAAGTAAATCAAAGCCCTGAGGATCAAAGACTCCCATTCATTTGCCAATCGATATCTTGCTGGGGGACTCTTGAGAGTTTCCCAGTGGACAAGAACTCACCAATTCAAAGCTTATGTTTTGAAGATAGGCTTGAAACAGGAGCTGAGTGGAACGATTTCCTGCTCCCAGTGACTGGTCTGCCTGTTCATGTCCTGCTGATGAGCCAGGCTGGCTGTGCTGTCATTTGAAATCAGATGTTTCAAGCACATCTTCAAAACATGCAACTTTTTCACATGCTATCCCTATAAGGAGGGCTGATATGGATAAACAACAATAATATTCATTCTCGCATTTGAAGCAGCGCCTTGGAGAGAAAGGGAATTTCTCCCAGCATCCTGGCCAACAGTCCTCCAAATAAAATTGGTCATTCACTTCATGGTTGTTTGTGAGACATCGCTGTGTGCAAATTTGGCTGCTATGTTTGCTCCACGTACCTTGTGGAGCACTTTCAGATGTCCTCCTGATGTGAAAGGTGCTAGCCCAAATGTTAGGATGACCTTTATAACTTAGTCACAAAAACAGAAGTCCCTGGAAACACTCAGCAGGTCAGGCAGCATCTATGAAGAAAGAAAGTGAGTCAAAGTTTTGGGTCCACTTCGTCAGAACTGGGGCATATTGGGAGGGATAGGCTTTTAAGGGATAACAGAGAGGGGGAAGGCAGGGTACGGAAGACAAGGGAGAAAATGGGATAGAGGATGGGATGATGAGTTAAAGAGGTGCTAATGATGCAAAACAATGTGGTGGGGGGGAAAATTGCAACAAAACAGGTAGACCAGAGAGAGAAAAAATGTGTCTGGGACCCACCTGATGTGGTAATGAACTTAATGCCAAGTGCACACACATGCCAGTAGCAGACTTTTAATATGTACAGCTACATAGCCACAGCTAAGTGCGCCACCTTTTGGACAAAGGCTCGTCTACATAATAATAATAATAATCCTTGCATTTGATGCAGCGCCTTATCACATCATTGAGACATCTCAAAGCGCTTCACAGAATATACTGTACTGTAAAGTGAATTGACTGTATATTTTGTGGGTGAAACGCGACAGCCAATTGCACACAGCAATGTCCCACAAACAGCCGTGGATTGAGAGACCAGATTATTATCTAAAATAAACACTTTGAAGGAATTATTACCCATGGAATGCAATCTGCCAAATGATTCATAACCGGGATCCTACTTACTGCCAGGTAAACAGAAGGGTGTGGAGTAAGGAAACTGGCCTAAGGTTTCACTCCACCCGGAGATCAAACCCGGGTCTCGCTTGCGAGGTGAGCGTGCTAACCATTACGCCACAGGACTCCACGGTTTGGTTGTTCTCTGCTCTGCACAGGGCGAAAAATCTTCAGAACCATTCAGGGCAACAATAGCAATTTTACTTTGTTCGAATAATTGAGGAAAAGGAAGGATCTGGATTGTTTCGAGATTATTTTTATTCTTAGCGGGAGAGGAAAAGGAGATAGAACCTTGATTAAAATAATAAAGTCAGAGCCACATAGCGGCTCTACGGAGGAGAAGACAATTAAAGCGAGGAGGATTTAAAGCTGAAAGAGAGTGAAAGGAAGCCCTTCCCGTGAGCATGGGTCAGAGCGAATCTACATAAACACTAGTTCAGTGAACGAACAGTGAACCTGTGGAACAGGCTCCCGAGGGAGATGGTTGAAGCCAGGAAGTGTTGATTCTTTCTTACACAGATTAGATAGTTTTCTTTTGGGAAATAACGTTATGGGATGCAGTACGTAGGTAATTTGGGACATATGTGCATGCGACTGCCAGGAAGGTGGAAGGCAAACTAGATAGACCTTGATCTTTCTTCGTCTAGCATTTCTTATGTTCTTAATGTGAATTACTGATGCAAAGGTTTTCCTGTCTGCGCCCGTTCAGGTGGATGTTAAAGATCTTATAGCACAATTTGACAGGAGAAGGGAGCTTCTCCTGGTATCCTGGACAACAATCCCCCAAATAAAATTGGTCACTCACTCACTTCATGATTGTGGAATATTGCTGTGCACAAATTGGCTGCTGCATTTGCCCCAAAAATACACAGACACTCCACTTTACAGTAAATGTTGTGTTCTACCAAATGCAAGGATTGTTAACAGCCGAGTGGGTTTAATAATAATAATAATAATCCTTGCATTTGATATAGCGCTTTTCACGTCGGGAGGACGTCCCAAAGTGCTTCACACAACACACTGTAAAGTGAATTGACTGTATTTATGGGCGAACGCGGCAGTCAATTGCGCACAGCAATGTCCCCCAAACAGTCGTAGATTGAAAATGACCAATTTATTATTGTTTTTTGCTCTTGGAGGGATTATTATTAGGCGGTGGAGTAAGGAAACTTGCCCAAGGTTTGATACTGAGTTGAGAAGGGAGGTGAGGTGACTGAAGACACGGTCAAAGAAGAAATTCTTCAGGTGTGATTTGAAGACGGGTAAAGATAGGGCAAGACAGAGATATTGAGGCAATCTCAACTCTTTACTCTGCATCTCACCCAGCTCTGCTAAACCTTGGAGTGTTTAATGCTCCCGAGATTAGAAAAAAAAGGGTTTCTCAATGACACTCTTCCTGTGCCTCCATACATAACAATAATATCCACTGGCTCCCCATCATTAAGAGGATAAAATTCAAAATCCTCGTCCTCACTTTCAAGGCCCTCCACTCCCTTGCCCCCTCCTACCTCCCTGACGTGCTAACCCCTTATCAACCTGTCCACACACTCTGTTTAGCGAGCTCCAGCCTGCTCCATGTCTCCCGCCCAACCCGTCCTTCCATCAGCAGCCGGGCTTTCAGCCTCTCTGCCCCCACCCTTTGGAACTCCATCCAACAATCCCTTCGCCTCGCTTCCTCCCTCACCTCCTTCAAAGAATGACTCAAGACCCTCCTTTTCGACCATGCCTTCAGCTGCCCGCCTATCTCTTTGGCCTCCCTCATCCCAACCCTGCCCCCCCACCCCTCCACGCTCGGGTCCTGATCCCTGACTCTTCAGCACCTTGGGACGTTCTCCCCACGTGAAAGGCACTTTACAAATGTAATTTTGTTGTTGTCATAATTCTTACCGGACAACATGAAAATAAAGATTGTTCTGAGTTTAGTAAATACATAAACGTGCGCGAGAAGAAGTGAGTTCCTCCTGGTGTCCTGGCCAGTTCTCGAAATAAAATTGGTCATTCACTTTACTACCATTTGCAGGAAGTTGCGGTGTGCAAATCGGCTGCTGCTGTTTTTCTATGAAAGCACACAGCCACTCCACTTTACAGTAAATTATGCTGAGACATGAAAGGCATTATACCAAATACTGATAAAAAATAATAATCCTTGCATTTGATGTAGCGCCTTATCACATTGTTGAGACTTCTCAAAGCGCTTCACAGAATATATTGTAAAGTGAATTGAATTAAACTAATTATATAATGGAATATATATAGTTGTATAAATATATATATATCAATTGAATTATACATATATATATATAATACATGCGGGAATTCACCCGAAACAACTCTCCTCTGTTTCAGATAGAAACTATCATCACACAAATGCAGGACGACAAGGCTGGAGGCGTGCCAATCCGCACAGTAAAGAGTTTCCTGTCAAAGATTCCCAGCGTTATCACAGGCAAGTCCTACTGTCGTTGAGAACACAGCCTCTGACTAGAATGTAGAGAGAATGAGGTTCCCGAGGTCCCGTCTGTGCCTGTCCAGGCGGACGTTAAAGATCCTGTTACACTATTTGGGAAGAGAAGATCTTCTGGTGCCCAACAATCCCCTAGAGAAAATTGTTCATTTTCTTTCATGGGTTTGTGGGACCTATCTGGCTGTGAGCAAATTGGCTGCTGCGTTCGCCTACACAATACACAGCACCAGTAATTACTGTACAGCACTTTGAGACATTCGAAATAACAGGCACAGTGTGAAATGTAAGGGATGTTGTCATTAACAGCGGGACACCAGCAGGGTCGGGGCGCGGAGCGCAGGTAAAGGATGGTACATTTGGTTATCAGTCCCGACAGCAGGCGTCTGAACCAGGCAGTGATGTGGGAGTAGCCCCTGGGCTGGTTCCCTCCCCTCTGACACCCACCACTGAGGTTGCCGATTGCCTGCAAAAGGCCAGAGAAATTGTCACGCGCTCTTAGTAACCAGGTCTCGGTCAGTCTTTTGTGGAGAAGCCACAGGCCATGAAAATAGCTGCTGTCCGAAATCTTTCGAGGTGTCCAGCATGTGGTGGCATAAATCCCTTCACTTCCCTATCCCTGTGATCTTGTCTCCTTTGCACAGCGAGAGAAGAGGGGAACAGAAGAGCGTGGGAGGGAGTAAGCAGGAGTAGAGACTTATGCGGAGTATAAATACCAACACAGATTGGTGGGGTCAAGTGGCTCATCTCCGTACTGTACAGTCTATGTAAATCTTTGTAAATATTGGAAATTATAGCTGTGGAATCTATTGCTTTCTCCATCGTATTTAGCATTGTATTTATTGTATCATATGTAGCATCGTAAGTGCTTTGGGGCACTACCCAGGGTGAAGGGCGCTATATAAATGCAAGTCGTTGTTATAATTACCTCCTCTACGGTCTCCAATAAGACCTCTCCTGGAGAAAAAAATTACCATCAAGTCTCCACTTTCACAACTTCCATAGCATTTAACAGTGTTGCTAGAATTTCGCACGTTCTCAAATACATTCTTCATTTTGTAACCTTTAGTGCAGCTCTTAAAGAATCTATATACGAAAATGTTATCAACTAAGTCAAGCTGACACTGGAGTCAAAATGCTGTAGTTCCATAATACCTCACACAGTTCTTCTCCACTCCCTCCTAACTCCTTCCATACCCTTCGACATCTAGCTTACTCTTAAATGAATGCAATTTCCAAATCTTATTTCTCCATTTTGATCATGTGTGTGTTGTGTGGGAGAGGCGTAGGTGATATATACTCACAGTACACCATTAAATTATTTTTTTTATATATATATTCTGTTACAATATTAGGTTACCTATTTTCATTGGAAGACTGAGTCCTATTCTGATGGCTTTGCTGTGTTGGAGTTTGCTGGCGTATAGGTTTATATTTGTTCCTTGCATTTCTTTTTGATATAGCGTCTTTTGAGGAAATGGTTTTAAGCCTAACACCATGTGAAATTTTGGGGCTCTGATGATAAGGACCCGGGCTAGCACAGTGGGAATGGGCGTGGGTTGGGGGTAGAGCTGGGTGGTGGGTAGGTGGGAGAGAATATCAAAGGAACGACATTTTAGCAGTATCTTAATGCCTTACTTTGGAGAGTTGAAACTTGCGGTTGATCATATCAGGCCTCCGTGTCCCCCAGGTAGGTTTACGATCATGAAGATTGTTGGCAGTTAATGAAACTCACAAATGAGTCTCCGGTGGGAAACTATAAAGTGATCTGTTGCAGTCAGAGAGAATAAAAAACAAACCACATGCGCACACACTCAAAACACACAGGACTTTTAAAATGTTGACAATTCGTAAACCCCAACCAGATTCTTAGCTAAAATTCAACAACTCCATTCTTTAAGTATCTTCTAACAATAGATCTGCTAGGAAGACACTGCCCCCCTAACACACTCCCCCACCTCTCCTTTTCCTAACACTCTTCCCCCACCCCCACTCCCCCCCATCCGAGGAAGTGGAGAGCACATAATTATAAAGGAAAAATGCCTGATTCAATCCAGGAGAAGGGCCTGAAGGAAGAAGCCCCGGGGAGGGGTTTGATTTGCGTGTTCGGTGTTAATGTTGACATTGCGACACACACTGGCTACCGTGACATGCAGAAGCCCTTAAACGAGGGGACACTCTGTACGCTGGTTGCAGACAGTGGACAAATGTGTGGGTGCAGCGGGGCGGAAGGAAGGAACAGCCTCGGGTTGTGTTATGATAGACAGCGCTGCTCCTGAAACAAACACAGGCAATTTATTCCATTCAGAACCATCGCTGAATGTCATACGGATGGCAGAAAGGACCCCGTGCTTGATCAGAGTCAGTCTTAATCATTTCTAAAGCGAACAAAGCTGCCGTGTGCGTATCTCTCTCTCTCTGGTGAGAAATGTAGATGAGGAACCAAAGCAGACAGTGCAGGAGAGGGCCAGGGTTAAAGAGAGTGGGAGGATAAGCAAAATCAATCAGTAATGATAATAACAAAATAAGCCTTGCATTAGATACGGAGCATTTTATGTCTCAAAGGGAGGATGTCTCCAAGTGCTTCCCAGTATTTACTGTAAATGAGTGCAAATAAATAGTAATCAGGTGCAACAGCAATTGCCCACAAACAGCCATGAAGTCAATGAACAGGTTAATCTTTAATAATAATAACAATAATAATCCCTGCATTTGATATAGCACCTGATCGAGTCGTCTCAAAGCATTTCACAGAATATATTCTAAAGTGGCTTGACTGTGTATTTCGTGGGCAAAACACAGCAGCCAACTGCGCACAACAGTGTCCCACAAACAGTCATGGATTGAGTCACCCAATTTTTTATTGAGGGCTTATTATCCCCAGAAAGCGATACACCAATCGACTTAACAACCGGGTTCCTACTTACTGCTAGGTAAACAGAGGCGCGTGGAAACTTGCCTATGGTTTTGCCCTGCGCAGGAATGGTTCAATCTGACACAGAGAGTGGGTTTTCTAGCCCTTGTTGTTTAATGCTGTTTTAGAGGCTCAGTATGAGAGGTAGCAATGATTCAATCTGTCACAGAATAGCTAACAGTGCTGAGCTTAGAATATTGACTCATTCTGATGCAGCGGGTACACTCCATATACCTGCCGTCCCATCCCCTCCTGCACTGTTGACTGGTGCTGTATGATAGTTTGTACAGGAGTGAGATAGTCAGAAACCCAACTCTCCACTGGTTGCTGAGGTGAGCCGTTCAGCTGAGGAAACACAACCTTTACACTGAGAGTGCCGAATAGCAGAGTGTAATCCCACTTTAACGTGAGAGCTAATAGTCTGTCACATGGCACAGAGTAACTAACAGTGCTGAGCTCCGAGTATTGATAAAGCAACACAGTGTATTCCCACCAAAACAGCTTATATAACAATATAATCCTTGCATTTGATATAACACTTTTCACGTCTTCTAGACGTCTCAAAGCGCTTCACAGAATAGACTGTAAAAGTGAATCAACTGTATATTTGTGGGCGAAATGCGGCAGCCAATTGCGCACAGCAGTGTCCCACAAACAGTCGTGGATTGAAATGACCAATTTATTATTGTTTTTTTTTTGAAGGATTATTATTAGGCGTGTGAGTAAGGAAACTTGCCCAAGGTTTCACCCTGCTGGGAATCGAACCCAGGTCTCTCGCTTGCAAAGCGAGTGCCCTAACCACTGAGCTTCATTCCTCCCAGCAGTGCAGGCACAGGCCAAAGTACTCCCAATCTTAATAGGACGACCTTTGCATTTTAACACTGCCGTAAATTACATTTTAGCATTGAAGTGATGGAGAAAATCCTATTTTAAGACAGGTACAGTACTGAGCAAACCACTGTGGCCCATTTCTGCTCTCAGGAAGCTATTGATCAAAAGCACATTTTTAAAGCCTTCCACCAATTAAAAATCCATTGCTCTCTTTCATCCTTTGATTTTCACTTCTATGTTCATAATTGATGGCTGACCGGCAGTATAAAGCACTGGGATCTGGAGGCACATCCAGGTCTGTGGCGTTAGTCACTGAACAAGACGGAATTGGAGCATTGTTGCTCCACAAAGCCTGCGTTTTGGTAACTATTAAATATTTAACCTGAGCGTTCTCACTCAGCCCTCCTCATAATGATCCATTTGGTGTCCGGACACATTTTGTTTTGTGAGGGTATAAATAAATAAATAAATCAATAAATGCGGCCAGAATTTGATGACTTAAGTGGTAGTGACAACATACGCCAGGGTTGAGTTATGAGTCATTATTGATTATAATAAAAAATCCTTTATAGACCATTCTTTTCAGTCCAGCTCCTTGGGACGTCCTCCCAACTTGAAAGGCGCTAAACCAATGCAACTTGTTGTTGTCGTGGTTGATTACAGCTGTGGGCGAGGTGGGGGGTGAGGTGAAGAAGGATTTGAGAAGGATGAGTTCAGGTGGGCCAGAGGGCCTGCTTCATTCAAATCTGAACCTTGGTGTTGTTCTGGCCTCCAAACCCCCAGGTAAAATAGATCATTCACTTCACGACTGTTTTCGGGAAATTCCAGTGCACAATTTGGCCTCTGTGTTCACCTAGAAGATATAGTCACTACACTTTGCAGTAAAGTCCTTTGAAGCGCTTTGAGACATCTCGAAGATGTGATATTTCAACAGCTTCAACAACTTGTATTTTTATAGCAGCCCTTCACTCAGCAAAGCATATCAAATGCAAGGATTATTAATTATAGTAATAGCAAGAAATGTATCTATATAATCTAATAAATAGTTGGATACTTTCTTAAGCACATGTGGGTATAGAGTATTAAGCAGCTGTGATTGAGTTTCCCATCAAGGACAGAGAGTAACTAAATGTAATAGACATTGAACAGGTTCCCTGGGCACTTCTTTCAACGTGATAGAAATCGTGCTCTGATAAAGATTTATTGTTTTAGTGGGAAATCTATTCCAACGCAATTCTTTTCAAAATCCACTTGAAACTGAATTCGATGCTTTTATTCCACAGATTAAACTAAACCAGACTAAAGGGAGTCTTTAGCCTTCCTCGTTTCTTACTTCTGCCAAACTGCGAAGTAAACCGAGCAAAGATAGTGAATAATAAATTGCACTTTATGATACACTTTTCACACAAAAATGAAATGCCTCAGAGTCCTTTTGTTTTCTGGGCAGCCGGGGGACTGACAGATAGGGAACCCCACCACCATACTTAAGAGTATCCAAAGTATTAGGTGCAGGTTGGCAAGAGACAGGTCTTGGGGACCCTAGAGTGTGTGTTAGGGTTCTGCAGGAGTTAAAAACGCATAGCCTGCCATTGAGAGCACTGTCTGGCAAGCTTTACCGCTGCTTGTCCAGCTCGGACCACCCTACCTGTTAGAGTTTTGGCTTAACAGAAGTGATGTGAGTGGGATGATTCCCTGCCCCCAGTGATTGGTCTGCTCTTCCAGGTCCCGCCAACGAGCTAAGGAGCAACTAAACTCATTTGAACTTAGGAGTAAATTGAAATCAAGGAGGCGAATAAAAGCCAGGTTAACTGGCAGAAATAATCCATGGCTCTTAATCGAAACCAAGGTGGTTTTCTTAGGTCTGCCCTAGTCGCAAGACGGTTGTAACTTAAATTTAATGAATATCAAAACTTCTTCCCACAGAGGGTGGTGAATGTGGAACTCACTCCTGGAGGCTGTGGTCAAAGCAAAAAGTAGCAACATGCTTTAAAAGACAACTTGATGCATAGATGAGGGAGGAGGCTCGTGTGGAGTATAAACACCGGCATAGACTAGTTGGGCCAAATGGTTTGTTTCCGTGTTGTAGTGTTGTATCGTTGTATGTATGTCGACAAGACTGTGAACGCAAGTGCTGACGTGGGGCTTGGACTCACAACCTTCTGATACAAGAAGTAAGAGTCCTTCCAGCCGCCCCAAGCTGACCTCTCCTAGGTTGTGCAAGCTGTGGCATGATTACACACATAGGTATTGGAAATACGCCACTGGGCACAAGCCTGTGACTCCAGCAATAATAATAAGAAGAAGAATTATCCTTGTATTTGATAAAGCATCTTATCACTTCATTGAGACGTCTAAAAGCGCTTCACAGAATATACTGTTGAGTTAATTGACTGTGTATTTTGTGGGCGAAACGCAGCAGCCAATTGCACACAGCAGTGTCTCAGAAGCATTCACGGATTGAGTGACAAATTATTATTATTATTGTAGGGATTATTATCCCCATAGGCTGTGATTAGTACAAGGGCGGAAGCAGCTCCGCACAAACCGGGAAATTCAACCAGATTATTACAACAACTTGCATTTAAGTCCCATAGCACTTTACATATCTGAAAGGCTCAATGTCCACTCTTGGCAATGACTTAATCAACTGAGCTATTTAGAGAATTTGTGCTGTTGCATTGGCTGAGAGGTCAGTGGGAAGCCTCTGAGCACTGTAGTTGCAGTGGAACAGCAGCACCCTCTTCTGGTCCAAACTCTATTTGGCGATCATTGGGCTTGGAACAGCCAATGTTCATCATGATAATAATCCTTGGCTTTTATTTAGCACCTTATCACGTCGTTGAGACATCTCAAACGCTTCAAGGATATATATACTATAAAGTGGATTGACTGTGTATTTTGTGAGCAAAATGTGGCAGCCAGCTGTGCACAGCAATATCCCACAAACATTGTTGGCCAAGACACCTGGAGAAACTCCCTTCTCTTTTTGAATGGTGCCATGGGATCTTTAACATCCACCTGAACAGGCAGACAGGACCTCGGTTTAATGTCTCATCTGAAGGACGGCACCTCCGACAATGCAACACCTCCCCACCCTCAGCGCTGCATTGGAGCGCCAGCATAGTCTAAGCGATTCCAAGTCCCCACGTGGGGTTTGAACCCATAACCTTCTGACTCAAAAGCAAGAATGCTACCACTGAGCCAGACTGACAAATACCAAATGGGCCGAAGTGACCAGTTGGTCAGGTGGTAAAAGCGAGCCAGCTTAAAGAACGAAAGGTTGGACAACACGAAAATAAAGATCGTTTTGAGTTTAGTAAATGCATAAACTTGCGTGGGAGAGGGGAGTTCCTGCTGGTGTCCTGGCCAGCAACACCCCCAAATAAAATCGGTCATTCACTTAAGGCCGTTTATGGGATGTTGTGTGCAAATCAGTTGCCGCTGGTTTTCCATAAAAACATAGTCACTTTTACAGTAATTTTTACAGTAATTGAGACGTCCCAAAGGACTTCACAGAATATACCGTAAAGAATATTGTCTAATTGTGTATAGACAACCCTAATTGTCCGTATATTTTGTGGGGGAAATGTAAGGATTATGATTATTAGTATAGAAGCACTGGTGTATGATTACTATCTGAAATGTAACTCAATCACTAGGAAAAGGAGATGTTCTGGACAGCTGAGATCAGATGGGTCCAGGGGCTAATTCTTCCTACTCGTGAATGAATGAATGCTCGCAAAAAAACTGTGCGGAGATCACAGGCAATAATGTACCTCTAGATGGCGCTACTTGCCTGTTTTGGAGCAAGGCACAGCTCAAACAGTGGTCAATGCCATGGAGATGAGGTAGTCATGGTACAGTCACCGCACTGAAGAGTAATTGATGTTTCAACGTTACAGTTGCTATATCAAATGCAAGGATGATTATCCTAACATGTGTCTCCCTGTTCAACCTCACTTTCCCTCCATTATCGCTCTCTTTCAGGCGCTGACATTGTGCAGTGGCTGATGAAGAATTTAATTATTGAAGATCAAGGTAAAGAGAGTGATGTTTTTAGTGTTTGGTGATGGCCTTAGGCACGCTGTGCTCTTCTTACATCACAAATGCTGTTCTAAATATTTTGACCTACTAAATTTAGTTGGTAATCATTACTTCTTTGATATTGCACTTTTTGGGGGGTGGTCAGCTGGGTGTCTGACACCTGCGGAAACCTGTCACCATGTGTAAGAGTTTCCAAACCAAACTGAGAATTCCACGCAACCCACCTCCACATGGGAATTCCAGAGAGAGATTGTTGGAATGGAATATGCACTCTCTCCCTGGAGGGACACATCCTGCTTATTAGGTAAGTATTAGGCGCAGGTTGGCAAGAGCCAAGGCTTGGGGATCCCAGAGTGTTCATTGGGGTACTGCTGAAGTCTAATCAGCTAAAACCGCATAGCTTGCCATGTATAGCACTGTTCAGCAAGCTTTCCCGCTGCTTGTCCAGCTAGGACCACCCTACCCTTAAGGGCTTTGGCTTGCAGAGTTAACAGGAGCTGAGTGGGAGGATGCCCTGCCCCCAGTCTGTGGGAAATAAAATCGGTCGTTCACTTCATGGCTGGCTGTTGGGCATTGCTGGGTGCAAATTGACTGCCACATTCACCCACAAGATACACAGTCAATACACTTTACAGTAACAACATCAACAACAACAAAGTTACACTTATAGAGCGCCTTTCACGTCGGGAGGATGTCCCAGCTTAAGTCCCAGTCCCAGCTGGTAAATCCAGCTTTGAAACTTCCTCCTGACATGAAAGACGCTGTACCAAATTCATGGCTTATTATTAAGTAAAATACATATTTTCACTTTTTTTTACACTGACTTTTAAAAGAATTCTGGTGCCTGTACGCTGTTGAAGTCATCTTTTTTCCCCTCTATTCACAGGTGAAGCCATACATTTAGGGAGTCTAATCGCTGCTCAAGGCTACCTGTTTCCTATATCAGATCACGTGTTGACACTGAAGGACGATGGGACATTTTATAGGTTTCAGGTGGGTCAAAACCAATTCTCCATTCCGATTCCATTGTCAGGGAAATTGCCAGTGTGTTTGCCAAGATGCCTCTGGGTGAAGAGCTCACCGTTCAGATGGGTCACAGATTGGTTTAGATGAAGAAGGCCCCTTCAGCCCATCCAATCTCATCCACCTGACCATCTCTCCCCACTACAGCATTGAGCTGTTTTTCAAATAAGTCCAGTGTCCTGGCCTCTACCATCTTTCCTGGCAACCTGTTCAGTCGTTCATTACCCTCTGAGCAAAGGAAAGCTTTCTGGTGTCTGAGCTGAAATTGCCCTTTACGCTGTAAACCTGTGTCATTCACAGATCAGGGCTTGGGTCAAAGACAAGCAGGTCCCATCCACCTCCACCTGCGGGTGTGCAGAGCAGAAATAGTCAGAGGTGAAAGCCATATATTTATCAGTGAGAGGGAGAAGCAATACCACCCCTTTTATCTCCACAGCGAGGGTGCAGGAAACGGTGCCTAGCTCCGAAAAAAAGAACCACAAAGTAGAAAGTGCACCTTCTGCAGGGAATCTCACGTCAACAGCATCAGGGTCTCAGTATGCTTGGCAGTGGTGGAGCACGATGCAGAGCCGGGGGGAGGTGGGAGGTGACCGTAGGCATGGTCAAAGAGGAAGGTCTTCAGTTGCGAACTGAAGATGGGGAAGGAGGGAGCAAGGCAGAGGGATTGAGGGAGAGCGTTCCAGGGTTTTGGGGCGTAGAGGCTGAAAGCGCGGCCACCGATGGTGGAAGGAAGAGCACGAGGGACCAGCAGGAGGCCGGAGGCAGCGGGTAGAGAATGGGGGAGTAAGCAGGTTGGAGAGGTAGGGAGGTGCCAGTGCATGAAGGGATCTGAAGACGAGTGTGAGGATCTTGAAATTAATCCGTTCGGTGTCAGGGAGCCAGTGGAGCCTGGTTAGAATTGGTGTGATGGGGGTATGGAGTTTAGCGTGGGTGAGTATGTGGGTGGCCAAGTTTTTATATGACACTGTCCCGATGGAATCCCGCGTACTTTGCTCCATCCCGAGGAAATCCCATATACGTGACACTATCCTGAGTGAAGCCCACGTGTGTAACACTGAGGCTCTGAAGCAAGATGTTCTCTGGTCACTGACTTAGATCCCTGATGTTCTACGAGCAGGAGATATACTTGACACCTGAGCTGTGTCAAGTATTCGGTAGGAGAAGTCATTCACTCTGTCACCCTCCGCCCACATGTACTCCTTCTCTGCGGTCAATTCATGCACTAACAGCCGTGTGTTAATTGTAGGCTCCCTACTTTTGGCCGTCAAACTGCTGGGAGCCAGAAAATACAGACTACGGTGAGTATGTTTTGGTTTCCTTTCGTACCCTCCAGAGTCTAACTAATCCGTAACATGGTGCCCGCCTGCCTGACAAACAGGCAGATCCAACACTTTGCAGACAGACGCTGACTGAAAATGGTCTGAACCATAGAATTTTACAACAACAACTTGTATTTATATAACGCCCTTCACATGGGGCAGCGTCTCGAGGTGCTAAACAGTGGAGGAGCCTGACGCCGAGACTGGGGGAGGGAAGAGGTGACCTCCCTGGTAGAAGAGGAGGGTCTTCAGTCTGGATCTAAAAGAGGGAAAGGAGGGGGCAAGGTGGAGGGATTGAAAGAGAAAGTTCCAAAGCTTCAGGGCATTGTGGCTGAACGCTCGGCCGCTGATGGTAGAGCAGAGAAGACGTCACAGATAATTGCACTTTTGATAATTCCTTTCAATCCTTGCCCTCTAGTGACCGATTCTCTGAGACAAAGAATAAATCAAGCCGTTCACTCTATTTTTCACGCACAGTTCCTTTTGCCGAACAGTTTCTCTCACGTAATACAGAGCGCAAAGTGTTGTCTGTGAGAATTTGCAGCACTTTGTTGCTGTATGCGCATGAATATTAGGCACATATTATCAATATTAATCTAATATTATTAATATTAATACCGTATTATTAATATAGTATTAATATATTATTATCAATATTAATGTAATGTATGAATATTAATATCATATTAATATTAATATAGCATTATTATCAATACTCATATAATATGAGGCACATCTCCCTGTTCGGGTGGACGATAAAGAATCCATGGCAATGTTCGAAAAAGTGTCTCACTCCCAGTATCCTGGCCAACAAATAAAATTGATCATTTCATGGCTGTTTATGGGACATCGTTGTGTATTGCTGCAAATTGCCTTCCGCGGTCAAGCACAGAATACACAGTCACGCTACTTTACAGCATATCCTGTGAAACACTTTGAGAGATCTCGATGACGTGACAAGGAGCTATATCAAATCCAAGGATTGTTCTGATTACAATAAAGGTTGTAATTTTTTGCTTTCGTGTTCCTTCTTTCCCAACCGCAGCCATCTACCTGTGCAAGCGGACAATGCAGAATAAAGCAAGACTGGAGCTTGCAGATTATGAGGCCGTAGGTATACCGATTTTATAATCAGCAGGGTGTGAGCGCAAACCTCAACATGATTGGCACTGGGTGCTTGCAGCAATGTGGATCAATATTTGACCATATTGCAGAGCACACATCTCCTTCTCCCTCTAACTCCAGGTCTGTTTATTTTCACAGGAGAATTTGGCCAGGCTACAAAGGGCTTTTGCAAGGAAGTGGGAGTTCATCTTTATGCAAGCCGAGGCCCAAGTAAAGTACGTGAAGAGGCATCTTGCACAACCTAAGGATATAGCGCCTTGGTCTGTCCTCCCAACGTGAAAGGCGCAATAGGATTGTATATACAATATGAGGTGTTAAGAGAAAGGGAGATGATACCTTTCTTTCACTGTGACACCAGTGGTTTGAGCTCCCTCTTTATAAAAAGGCAATACAAATTTACATTTATAAAACACCTTTCATGTTGGGAGGATGTCTCAGGATAGTCTAAGGTTTACACTCGAGCTAGGGGTGCGAGCCTAGGGCATGTGGCGAGAGGAAAGGGAATTGAAAGTTCTGTGAAAGAAATAGGTCTTGAGTCAGGTGGAAGGATGAGATCAGAGGGGCCAAAGGACTTTCTTCATCCGAACCGATCTTGTGATCTTATGAAATCAAATGCACGATTCCTGCCCCCCTCCCTCCCCAAGTGTCTATTAATATTTTTAGCACAGGTGGGAAATAATGCTGCTTTAAATTCAGCCTTTATTGTGGCAATTGATATTATCATCTTTTAGACTCGATAGGAAAAAGGATAAAACGGAACGCAAGATTCTAGACAGTCAAGAAAGGGCGTTCTGGGATGTTCACAGACCTGTGGTGAGTAATAATAATATTAATAATAATAATCTTTACATTTGGTACAGCAATAATAATAACAATAATGCTTGCCTTTGACTTAGCCTTATCATGTCATTGAGACATCTCAAAGCGCTTCACTGAATATAGTGCAAAGTGGATTGACTGTTTATTTAAGTGCTCTCAGACTCTACCCTGCGCGGAGGGTGCAATATACGTGCAAGTTGTTATCGTTTTTGTGGGCGAAACGAGGCAGCCAATTGTGCACAGCAATGTCACACAAACAGCCGTGGATTGAGTGAACACATTTTTCTTTGGAGGGATTATTGTTCCCGGAAATAGATCCACCAATCCACTAGCAAACGGGTTCCTACTTATTGCTAGGGAAACAAGGCGTGTTGAGTAAGGAAAAGTGCCCAAGGTTTCGCCCATTTCACGTCCAGAGGACGTCCCAAAACACTTCACTGTAAAATGTATTAACTGTTTTTTGTGGGTGAATCCGGCAGCCACTTGCGCACGTCAATCTGCCACAAACAGCAAGAGCAACAATAAATTGCACTTATATAGTTCGTTTCACTTCAGGAAGACGTCCCAAGGCGCCGGGCAATGGAAGGGATTTAAACCCGAGCTGCAGTTTGGGAGTGGTTGGGTGGAGGGCAGAGGGAGATGGGGAGGGTGGAGGAAGGAAGATGACCAAAGGCACGGTCGAAAAGGAAGGTTTTGAGACGGGCCTTGAAAGAAGCGAAGGAGGGGGACAAGGTGGAGAGGCTCCAGAGGGTGGGGGTAGAAAGGCTGAAGGCCCGACTGCTGATAGTCGGGGAGCAGGCAGGGCGGAGAACGTGGGGCAGGCTAGTTGCCTGCAGAGCGGAGGGAACCGGCCTGATAGTTTTTATAGATCGCAGAGGTAGGGAAGAGCAAGACTATGAAGTGAATGAGCAATTTTTTTTTTTATTTGGGGGATTGTTGGCCAGGACACTGGGACAAACCCCCTTCTTCTCTTTTTGTTAAAACTGAAGGATTACTGTTAATATTATAACAAATTTCTTTCTCTGCTTCTGTAGCCTGGTTGCGTGAACACCACTGAAATGGACATCAGAAAGTGTCGTAGGATGAAAAACCCAAACAAAATAAAGAAGGTATGAGCGGGGAAGCTTTACTGAACTCACTGTTTGAGATCTACAGTAACTGCAAGAGCAAATTAATGCCCAGTCAACTGCAGACCAATTCATGTTGAATTTAGCACTGCAAAATAAGGGAATGTTAAATCAAACAGAGTTTGAATTGTCATTCTGATATTTGAATTGTAACTAAATACGTCAAATTCCCAACAACACCAAAGCTGGAGTTCGGAATCAGGAAGAGTGGAGGTCAGGATGACCAAAGGCATGGTCGAAGAGGAGGGTCTTGAGACGGACCTTGAAGCAGACAAGGGAGGGAGTGAGGCGAAGGGACTGTGGGATGGAGTTCCAATGGGTGGGGGCAGAGAGGCTGAAGGCCCGACCGCCGATCGTGGGGCAGACCTGGTGGGAGACATGGAGCAAGCCAGAGTCTGCTGAGCGGAGGAAGTGGGCAGGTTTGTATGGAGTTAGCAGGTCACAGAGGTAGAGAGGAACAAGGCCTTGGAGGGCTGCGAAGGCCAACACTGATGGGCTAGCTTCCTTCTGTAAATCCAGCTTGGAGCAGCTTGGGCTTTGGCTTGCAGGGTTCACTGGAAGTAAATGGGAAGAATCATGGAATCGATAACAGCTTTCAAGAGAGAAGTAAATCATTATTTGCGGAAGACAAGTTTGCGGGGCCATTTGCTTATCTTCTGTATTTTGGACCTGACATTTATCATGAGTCTCCTTTTTCTGTTTTATTTTAATCCCAATTTCCTTATTCATCCAGGGAGGTTTGGATGTCCTACCCTTCCCCTTTGTGAGAATGTATTTGTTCTGTCCCCGAATTATCTCCTACTTGAGGGCTTCCCATTGCTCGTTAGCTGTTTTATCTGCCAATCTTTCTTTCCAGTCCACCTTGGCCCAGGTCCCTTTTTAGCTCACTGAAATCAGCCCTCTTCCAGTTGAGTATCTTCACCTTTGATTGTTCCTTTTGTCCCTTGTTTATCAGTACTCTAAACCTAATGATGTTGTGATCACTGTTGTCAAGATGCTCTCCTACTGAAACCTGCTCCACTTGCCCCACTTCATTCCCCAGAACTAGATCTAGCACTGCTTCCTTCCTCGTTGGAAATATACTGATCCAGAAAGTTATTCTGCACCCATTTCAGGAATCCTTCCCCCTCCTTGCCCTTTACACTGTTATTTTTACTTGTTTATGTTAGTATAATTGAAGTCCCCCATTATCACTACTCTAGTAGTAATCCCTGGCCTCCCAGTGACTGCTGCGATCTGAACGATACAATCTTCGCCTCTTTGTAGAATCTGAGTTGAGATTACACCGAGAAATGTTTCTTTACTTCTAGTCTGTCTACGGGGTTTCCGAAGATTCGCCTACTGCCAGCCCTGTACACACACCGGTACAGCCAGCCAGAAAACCTGGTAAAGAAGACCTGCTCAAAAAGGTAACACGTGAACAGAAGAAACGTTTATCACTTGCAATTTATACCGCTCCAGTCTGCGTACTGTGCAAAAGTGACTGTCTAACATGGACAGGCTCAGCTACTGTCCCCGGGCAATAGATGGCTCTCACCGACCAATTCTGGCACCAGTACAGTACTGGCAAAAGTGGGGTCTCATTTACGTTATTCCTTGAAAGATTGCAGCAAATTAGAGAATTCACAAGGTGGCTGTAGTCTCAAATTGTAGTTCTGTAGCATATTGGTTAAAGCATTCGCCTCGCAAGCAAGCGGACCTGGGTTTGATTCCCGGGCAGGGGGAAAACTTAGGCAAGTTCCTTACTTCACACACCTGGCAGTAAGTAGGAATCTGGCTGTTAGTCGATTGGCAGATCACGTTCCGGGGATAATAATCCCTTCAAAAAAAAATTTGGTCACTGTGGGACATTTCCAATCAATTCACTTTACAGTATATTCTGTGAAGTGCTTTGAGATGTCTTAGTGACATGATAAGGTGCTATAGCAAGTGCAAGGATTATTATTATTGTATCGCTGTGCGCAAATTGGCTGCCAAGGTTGCCCACAAAGAGTCACTACACTTTACAGTAAAATCATGGGGAGTGCTATGAGGCATCGTCCTGACATAAAAGGCGCTCCCCCAAAGTGCAAGGATTATTATTATCAATAATAATTTTATTACCTGTACAGCTAAACTACTGAGTGTCTGATTACTTGAATGGTTCTTTCTCTCTGTTTACAGATAATCTTTTTAAACGCCCAGCTAGATAGACATTGTCTAAAAATGTCTAAAGTAGCAGAAAGGTAAGGACCTTCATTTGGCAAATATCCCTGGAGAAGCCACCATGTTACCCAATTAAATTGCGTTGCCGCTGGCTTTGAAAAATACCCTTTAACAAAATCTTCCAAAAATGAGTTTTATCATGAAGCCACAAGATCCCACGTCAGCCCTAATCTGCCTGTTCAGGTGGATGCCAAAGATCCAGTGGCACTATTCAAAGAGAGAAGGGAGTTTTTACCAGGTGTCCTGGCTGACAATTCCTCCCCCGCACCCCCCCAAATAAAATTCGTCATCCACTCCATGGCTGGTTGTGCATGTATTGGCTGCCGGGTTCACACAAAAACACACGTTCCACTTTACACTCTACAGTGTATATTCTGTGAATCGGTTTGAGACGTCCTCCCAATGTGAAAGGGCTGTACCCAACGTGAGCATAATTATTATTCTGTTATGGATCGCTTATGAAACGTTCCGGGAAGATACCCCGCGCTATATAAATGCAAGTTGCTGTTGTTGCTTATCACTGATATATTGATAGTTATCAGTGGGTTAACATAGAACGTTTATCACTCCTTCAGGACTTTGTCCTCCTTATTTCTAACATCCATGGAACGAATGTGCTGAAAAATTAATTTGGCCTTGACTTAATTGCAAGCGATACGATAAACCTTCATTAGTACAGGTGGACTAACGTGTGCTAATTCGTTGTTTAATGTCCTGTTGCGCATCAATTAAATTGTAAAGGAAATTTAAACCTTGACACAATTTGATGTTCTGCTAAGGGACTGATCAGATGGACCTGAAAAAGGTTTCCATGGCAGAAATGAGTATGATTTGCTCCTGTGAGTCTTTCCTGATTTCACTCCTCAGCGGTTAAAGTGAGATCAGAAAACACTTCCTTCACACAGAGACCTTGTGAAAATCGGAATGCATTGCCCGGCCTAGAGGTCTGTAGAAGTGGAATCGATTGGGAATGCTTTAAAGGGAGATATGTGGTGTTGTGGGAACGAGGGTATTAAGGGAAATGGAGATAAGTCAGGGAAATGGTAAATTCGAAGATAGGCCATGATCTCACAAAATAGCAAAGAGGCTAAATGGCTTCAGTCAATCCTCCTTATGGTATATCCTGTCAAGCACTTTGAAACGTCTCAACAACGTGATAAGACGCTATATCAAATGCAAGGGTTGTTGTTGTAGTTGATGCCTTTGTGCTTTAGTTTGATCAGCTATGCAGAGCAGTACCTGGAGTACGATCCTTTGCTGACGCCCACAGAACCTTCCAACCCTTGGATCAGCGACGACAGCACTTTCTGGGACCTGGAGGCCAGGTAATTGGGACAAGGCTGAGTTCCCTGTCAATGAGTTGGGGCAATCAGTTGAATATAATAATCCCTCCAAAACAAAACAATAATAAGTTGATCATTTTCAATCCACGACTGTTTGTGGAACACTGCTGTGCGCAATTGGCTGCCGCGTTTCGCCCACAAATATACGGTCAATTCACTTTACAGTCTATTCTATGAAGTGCTTTGAGACGTCGAGAAGACGTGAAAAGCGCTATATCAAATGCAAGGATTATTATTATTATTATATACCAAGGATAAATTGTATTGAAGTGGACGGGATTAATAATGTGTCATGGTTGGAAGGGATTCCTGGGTTAGAATCTGCTAGGATGAATGTGTCCTCTCTTGACGGATGTAAGACTTGCCACTGAAAGCTGGGATCGGTGGTGAAAAAACCTTAGGCAATACAGCCTCCCCATGCAATCCCAGGTTGTAGCCAGCAAACTCAACACGGACCAACCGGCATTCGATCCAGCAAGCTCCTGGACATATCAGCTGCAGCTCTGCCCACTACACAGTCAGGAGGTGCCCCCTTGTTTTGCGGAGTCCCATAGTGTAGTGGTCCGAATGTTCGCCTCGCAAGCGAGAGGACCCAGGTTCCATTCCCGGGCTGGGCAGAACCTCAGGCAAATTTCCTTACTCCGCACAGTTTTCGGGGGTTAAGAATCCCACCCCCAAACTATAAATAAATAAAATTGGTGACTGAATCTATGACCGTTTGTGGGACACTGCTGTGCGCAATTAGCTGCCACGTTTCGCCAACGAAATACAGTCACTATATTCTGTGAAGTACTTTGAGACGTCTCAGTGACAAGATAAGGCGCTATATCAAATACAAGGAATATTGTTATTATTATTTATTTAATGGGTTTGGTGTTCAGCTACAGAGAGCAACTGTTTTTCTCTCTCTCTGTCTCTCTCTCTCTGTCTTTCTGTGTTAAGCAAGGAGCCCGGGCAGCAGCGTGTGAAGCGCTGGGGCTTCTCCTTCGACGAGATGCTGAAGGATCCCGTTGGTCGAGATCAGTTCCTGAAGTTCCTCGAGTCTGAATTCAGCTCCGAGAATCTGAGGTAAACCGAGCAGCATCGCGGGAATCGACAACAACCAAGAATATAAACACCTGTTGTACAAACACAACCAAACTCTCCTGTTAAACACAATCCCTTGGCAATGCAATGTGATCGATAAACTCTGGAACTCTCTGCCTCAATCCCTCAGCCTTGTCCCATCCTTTCCCATCTTCAGGTCAGGCCTGAAAACCTCCCTATTCGACCCTGTCTATGGTCATTTCTCCCCACCCCCTGCTCGGCATCTTGCCTGGCGGGACCTCAGTACTCTAGGAGACCTTGCTCATAGGAGCAAGGATTCTTCTCTCTCAGCTCATGTCTGTTAACCCCGGATGTGCTAACAGATAGAGCTGGACAAAGCAGCGGGAATGCTCCTCAGACAGTGCTCTCAATGGCAAGCTGTGCGGATTTACTTTCAGTCGTAGCTTGAGCTGCAAATTGGTTTCACAGCTGTGCCCGCAGATGGCCTCTCAGAGGTGCAGGACAGATGTGGGGAGCCTTTCCGACTGACACTCTCTCTCAGCTTTGCTGGGCTTGTAAATGGAATTCACACCCCGCTTCCTGCCCTCCTTTCGAAACTGTGCCCGATAATAACAGTCAGCGCAAAGTCTCACAGGTGCTAAAAACACGTCCGTCCTGAAGGAGTTTTTCAGGAGCTTGGCATCACAGCCTGAATTTCTTAATTAAAACACCACTGCACCCCACCAGCACACCCCATCTTCAGTACAATTGTTTAACTGTATTCTGCCATCATCTTCATGGCAGATAATGATCTGTGGCCATGTTCTGTGCTACATCTTCTGTAACATGGATGAAGTGAAGAGGAAGTTTACAGGTATCAGACATTCACAGCAAGGCCTCTGTTCAGACATTCAGACAAGCACATGCCAGAGGCATTGACCTGACCAGCCTCACGCGCATAGCTGCTGTCTGCATCTCTGATGTCCTTCAGAGATTGCAGCTTAGAGACAGTGCCCTCCATTCTCTCTCTCACTCTCTATATATATATATATCAGGACACCCATCTCCATATTTGCATTTTCCCATGAAATATGCAGTCAATCCACTTTATAGTATATTCCGTGAAGCGCTTTGAGACGTCTCAATGACGTGAAAAGGCGCTATCTCAAATGCAAGGATTATTATTGTTAGCACTGCCATGTCTCAATTGAACTAACCACATCTATCGCCCTCTGTGCATCTCTGATGATGACCGTTTACGCTCTTTTAAAAAATTGATCGGGCTTCTTTTTTATCCAATGCTGCGAATTCAGATCAGCCCAAATCCCTGTTGTGAGCCACAGAGATCACAGGCGGCTAGTTTGCCGGTTCTGGACCCTTGCGGCTGAGTTAAGTCAAGTCCCATTAGGTAAGCATCCAGTAAGTGACTAAGATTGCAGGAGGCAGGTTATTCAGTGCGCAGGAATTGAATGTCATACTATTAATAGACACAGAGCCCTGAGTAATCCTCCAGCAAAAATATTCCCTCTAAGACTGACCCTTTGCCGTGTAACACCCGGATACAGTTGAAGGTTCAGGAAAATAGGAACAGGAGTAGGCCATTCAGCTCCTCAAGCCTGTTCTGCCATTCTATTAGATCATGGCTGATCTGTGCCTCCATTGCATTGAACTGTATCTCAACTCCTGTAGCTCAGTGGTTAGAGCAGTCGCCTTGCAAGCGAGAGACCTGGGTTCGATGGCAGGGTGAAACCTTGGGCAAGTTTCCTTGCTCCACACGCCTCTGTTAACCTAGCAGTAGGAACCCAGTTGTTAGTTGATTGGCAGATCACTTTTCTGGGGGTAAAAATTCCTTCAAAAAAAAATTATAATTTGGTCACTTCAATCCATGACTGTTTTGGGACCCTGCTGTGTGCAACTGGCTGCCACGTTTCGGCCACAAAATATACAGTCAATTCACTTTACAGTATATTCTGTGAAGCGCTTTGAGACGTCTCGAAGACGTGATAAGGCGCTATATCAAATGCAAGGATTATTATTATTATTTACCATTGATCAATATCCCTTGCTACCCTTACCTAACAAAAATCTATCGACTCAGTCGCTGTTTTCGTAGTACATTGCAAACCAGGTCACTAGACTTGACAGCAGTTCGCTTTGAGACATCTCAAACTAATAAGCACTATATCAAATGCAAGGATTATTATTACAATTGACTGTTCTTTTGTTGTTACAGCAGTAAGAATAAATGTACACCTTTCTCACCACTAGAGAGCAGCCTCATCATCATCATATTCCTTCACTCCCATCCCCATCTCTTCCCCGTAGACAGAGCTTGGACACGCACTGCATCAGGGAGGATCATCAACTCACATTTCGTAGATAGTATAAGAGACTTGCAAGCCAATTTATTGGGTGGGTACACAGAGCCTATAACACCAATTATATCACCACAGCACCAACCTGCTGATCATTGCCGCATTCTGGCACAATATAGTAATAATATTAAATAAATAATCCTTGCATTTGCGATAGCGCTTTTCACGTCTTCTAGAAGTCTCAAAGCGCTTCACAGAATATACCGTAAAGCGAATTGAGTATATTTGTGGGCAAAACGCGGCAGCCAATTGCGCACAGCAGCGGCCCACAAACAGTTGTGGATTGAAGTGACCAATTTATTATTGTTTATTTTCTTGAGGGATTATTATCAGGCGTGCGGAGTAAGGAAATTTGCCCAGGGTTTCGCCCCTTTGTCGGGAATCAAATCCAGGTCTTTCGCTTGCGAGGCGAGTGCTCTAATCACTATAATTTTGTAGTTCCTTATATAATAATAATTGATAGAGTGCCTTATCACCAACAACAACAACAAAAAGTGCTTCACAGGATATACTGTAAAAGTGTAGTGATTGTGTTTACCCCTGGGAAAGCGATCCGCCAATTGACTGCTAGGTGAACAGAGGCGTGTGGAGTAGGGAAACTTGCCTAACTTTTCGCCCTCCAGGGAATCAAACCCAAGTTTCTTGTTGCGAGACGAGTGCTCTAACGACTGAGCTACAGGACTCCACGTGACTTCCTATACCCTGCATCGATGTGAAGTCGGTGCCTGTGACACTTTTGTCTCTATCGGCCATCCCGGAGGGATCCCAATCCCTGTTTGAGGCTGAGGGTTTGGGATAGGATCCTCCACTCCCTGCCGCTGACTGCAAGCCTCTGGGGAGTGCCTCGCTGAACCGGGCTGCTCTCCTTTACAAAGCTCCAGGCCCCCCCCCCCCGCCCCCCACGGTCCCAGCCTCTAAATCAGGTCACATGCCTGAGCTGCAGAGCTTCCAAGCTGCAGTGTTGCTGCTGAAAATAATGAAACCCTGGCAACCGGCACGAGGGGCATCGGGCACAGACGCTCGCGGCTGACTTAACTGCTCAGACATCAAAACCCACATATCAAAGTGACTTCTGCACGTGGCCACACTGTGTGCCTTGCTGTCAGGTGGCCTCCCAGCTCCTCAGGAGCCAGTGTAGAATTCACACACGTGTCTGCCTGTCGCCCGGTTCCTCTTCTCCTTTTTATTGTATTTTACTCCAGACAATTTATCTCCTCCGCTTGTTTTTCGCCCCCACTCCACTACCCGCTGCCTCCGCTCGGCTGGCTCCGGCCTCTCGCTTGTGCTCTCGTCTCCTCCGCTCCACCATCGGCGACCGTGCTTTCAGCCCACTACGCCCCGAAGCTTTGGAACTCTCTCCCTCAATCCTTCCGCCTACGCCCGCCTCATTCCCCTCCCACATTTAGATCACAACTGAAGACCTTCCTCTTCCAATGTGCTTACGGTCACCTTCCTCCCTGGCTCGGCGTCAGGCTCCGCCACTGTTTAGCGCTCCGAGACGTTGCCCCAGGGCGAAGGGCGCTATATAGGTGCGAATTGTTGTTGTTGTCCATCTGCTGTCCCTTCCCCTTGGTCCTGCCTCCTCTTCCTTCTCCTCCCATGAAATGCAAGATGTTGTTGTTCTGGTCTCAGCAGAGAATCGGATTGCAGGGGTTTGGGAGGGTGGGGGAGGAATGGGTCATCACAGACTGTTCTCACGCACTCACAAATAGAATTTTGTTTTCTCCATCATCACCACAGTCAGGAAAAACAAAGTAAGGCTATAATTTTCAAGACTTGTTTTCCTGGTCGCCCCGTGTTGTGTGTCAGTTTATGAGGCTGTTCGTTTCCCCGTCTCCCATCAGTCAGGCTGGATCAACACACACAGGGGAGGGTGAAATTCCATCGGGGAATACACAGGGAGCTTTCACTAACAATTGGCTGCCACATTTCGACCTCAAAATACGCAGTCAATCCAATTTACAGTATATTCTGTGAAGCGCTCTTGAGACATCTCAATGGCGCTATATCAAATGCAAGGATTAATTATTATTATTATTTTCAATTTCGGCAACTCTCTTGAATTCAATCTGAACATCTTTTTTGAAGCCGTTTTCAGTAATTCTTTATAAGAAGTACCGAAAAACACAGCTTCAAAATTGACCTCATTGAGGCTGAGTTATCGATTTTTGGAGCATCATAAAAAAGGCTGAGATAAAAGCCCAGGTTCAGACTCAGAGAAAATCCCTTCTTCTCCCCCCAACACCCCCTCCGTGGCAGATTTCCCAGAGGGATCGAGGAGGAGCAAGCCAACACTCCAGCTGGGCCCTTTTTTCACACAAACAGTGATCTGAAACAGTGTGAACCTCTCTTTCTCTCTCCCTCTCTCTCGTTTGCTCTCTTTCTTACTCTTATTCTCACACTCTCTCTCTCTCTCACAGACAGCCTGTCCGTCTCTCTCTCACACTCTTTCTCATTCTCTCTCACACATATTGTCTCCCTCTCTCTTTCTCACACTCTTTCTGTCTCCCTCACTCTTTCACATTCTCTGTCTCTCACGCACTCCCTCGTTTGCTCTCTCTCACGCCCTCTCACCCTTGCACTCTCTCTCGCTTGGTCCCTCCCGCACTCTCTCACTCTCTCTCACACCCTTGCACTCTCACACACTCACTCACAGTCTCTCTCACTGTCTCACAAACTCACTCTCCTACTCTCTCGCTCACATTCTTTCACTCTCACACACTCTCACTCACACCCTCTCTCTGTCCCTCTCACTCTCTCTCACTCATTCTCTGTATCTCACTCTCTCCACAGGTTTTGGCTAGCCGTGGAGGATGTAAAGAAACGGCCTCTTCAGGAGGTTGCGGACAGGGTCCAGGAAACCTGGAATGAATTCCTCGCCCCAGGTGCGCCCAGCGCCATTAACCTCGATTCCCATTCCTACGAGAAAACCAGCCAGAATGTCAAGGACCCGGGAAGGTACACATTTGAAGATGCCCAGGTACAGTACTGCTAATGGGCAAAGGGCCTTCGTCGCCCAAAACAATCGTCCAATGTTGTGAACAGTTTACTTCTGGGGCTGTACGGGATCGAATCCTATCTCACTGGTAGGCTGAGTAAGGAGCAGCCAAGGTTTTCAAAAGATGAAGAGCATTTTGGAAACCACACAGGAAGCGTTTCATGTGCTGAACTATTCGTCAAAGTGAACGTTATTAAGTCAACATTTCCATTTTGTGAAGTGTCTCTTGTCCCACATGGACGTAAGCCTGACTGAGCCCCATTGAAGCTTCAATCCCAGCACATAAACACTTGTCTCCCTGATCTAGAGCCAATTTTTCTGTGGCTAAAAAAGAATTTTTGGCACTAGCCGTTGCTTTACGAGTTTCTTAAATAGAATAGTTTATATAATAATAACCCTTACATTTGGCATAACACCTTTGTGACTGTGTGTTTTGTGGACAAACAAAGCAGCCAATTTGCTTACAGTAATGTCCTACAAACAAACAGTCATGAAGCGAATGAAGATTTATTTGGGGGATTGTTGTATATATTTAATATCTAAGTGTGTGTATTATATATACATTGAATATATATATAGTTCTCATATGTTATACTGAATATATATACACAACGTGTGTTTGTGTGTGTGTATATATATACACACACACACAAACACAGAAATACAAAAACACATACATTAAGCAGTGTGTCAAGCTGGCTCAGTTGCTTGCACTCTTGCCTTTAAAGTCAGAAGGTTATAGGTTCAAGCTTTATATTGGGAATTGGAACTCAATTAGTCTCAGGGGGTGTTGAATTGTTTGGGGTGCCATCCTTTGGATGATCCTTTCCTCCTCCCCCCCCACCCCTCCGCCCACTGTAAAATGCTCTGAGGCGTTATTCTATGTGGAGGGAGCGGTGTAAACGAAGGCTGTTATTGTTGTTATTACCAGCTGTAAAGCTCTCCGAGGGGCTGCCCTGCACGAAGGCCGTTATGTATATGAAAGTTATCGTTTGTTGTTGCTGAGTGGCTGTTCACTGTTACATTTTCCCCACTGAAACAACAAGGATTTGTGATGTTTGGTAAAGGTTCTCTCTCACATAAATGCCGGGGGGGGGCGGTGGGGAGGGGGGACACGTTACCAAATCTGTCATTCCTGCTCGAGGTTGGAGCTGCACAGCTGGCCCAGGAGCAGTGGTTAGCCCGAGCGACTGGTTAGAAGCTGACATTTGAATCGGATCCTGCGGAAAGGATCAAAGATCTTCCAGTAAAGGGAAAACGTGGATGGACGCCTGGTGCTGCGATGCGATATTCTGCCACGAAATGTCACCGTCAATATCGAACTGGCCACAGCAGGGGCAATCTCCACCTTGGGTTCAGAATCTTTTTGAATTATCATTTGGTCGCTCAATCCACGACTGTTTGTGACATACAATATCTGTGCGCAATTGGCTGCCACCTCTCTCCCACAAGATACGCAGTCAATCCACTTTACAGGACATTCTGTGAAGCGCTTTGAGACATCTCAACGACGTGATAAGGCTCTATATTAAATGCAAGGATTGTTATTGTTATATTATGGGGAGGGGGTGGAATTTCACTGGAGAAGGTATCACTAAAAACACAGTGAAAACAACAAGAACCTGTATTTGTTCAGCGGCCTTCGCATAGGATAGCATCTCGGTGCGCTTTACAGTGTCCGGGTTGGAGGTCGAGTAGGTGGAGAGGAAGAGAGAGGTGACCCTAGGCACAATCAACAGGGTAGGTGTTAAGGTGGGACATGATAGATAGAGAGGAGGGTGGGGCGGGGGGAGGGGGAGAGGAGACAGTGAGCTAGAGGGAAGCAGTTGCAGAGGAAGCAGTGTAGGAATCCGAAGGATTTCTTTTTGCAACAATTCAGTCACTATCAGCCAGGGGGCTGAGGAGCACAAGCCCTTGAGACCAGCTGTCAAGTGAGGAGATGGCTGGCCACTTGCTCACTGTCTTCAGTAGAGCACGTGAGTTTGATTCAGCCATTGACTGGTTTAGGCCCCTGTATTATGCCATGTGATTGGGTGGACAGGTGGATGTGAAGAGACTAACCTACCTTTCCCACCCCACCTCACCGCTCCCCCCTCCACTCCCCGCTGCTGTTTACACATTGGGTGGTGAGAATGCGGGTCATAAGCTGTGGTTGAAGCAAATAGCGCCAATGTATTTAAGAGGAGAGTTGTGGCATAGAAGGGAATAGAAAAAGGGTAAATAGGAATGAACCATAAACACCAGCACAGAGCGGTTGGGCCGATTGGCCTGTTGCCGTGCTCGTTGCAACTCAGTGTTCCACAACAACAACACCACCTTTTAATTTACTTGTAAGTGCCCTTCACGGTGGGTAGCATCTCAGAACGCTGAACTTGGTGCTGAGCTGGAAAGGAAGGGGAGGTGACTGTAGGCACGACCGAAGAGGAAAGTCTCTAGGTGCGAACTGAAGACGGGCAAAGAGGGGGTAAGACGGACGGATTGCGGCAGGGAGATCCAGAGATTGGGGGCAAAGTGAGTGGCTGGAAGGCACGACAGCCAATGGCGGAGCGGAGGGGACAAGGGACTTGCAGAAGCTCAATGTAACAGTAGAAATATGGAGCTTTTTCTCAAGACTGTCATAGCTCATAACTCCCTCCTCATACAAACTCACCCTAAAATGTTTTTCATTGATTGGCTACTTGATCACTGTTGAATGAGGCTGACACACGTTAACTCTGCCTCCCGGATAATATCTGCTTCGTTTCCGGATTATCTAATCCTGTAAAGGGTGCTTTGTGTCCTTCCAGTGTAGAGCATTGTAAATGGTCAGACAGAGCAGCTATGAGCCGTGGGGGTGGGATGGAGTCAGGGTGGGGAGGGGACAGGGAGGGGAAAAATGACCAAAAACCCAGTCACATTTTCCACTTTACAATATGTCCTGTGAAGAGCTTTGAGATGTCTCAACAGCCTGTTATGGCGTTATATCAAATGCAACAACTACAACAACAAAATTACATTTGTAAAGCGTCTTTCAAGTCAGGAGGACATCCCAAGGCGCTGGACAGACAGAGTTATGGACCCAAACTAGGGGTCAGCATGGGGGAGGATGGAGGGCAGGGGTGGGGGAAGCAGGGAGATCGAAAGTACGGTCAAAGAGGAGGGTCTTGAGGTGGGTCTTGAAGGTGGCGAGGGAGGGGGCGAGATGGAGTTCCAGAGGGTGGGTGCAGAGTGGTGGAAGGTCCATCTGCCGATAGTGGGGCGAGCAAGGCAGGGGACGTGAAGCAGGCCAGAGCGCGCTGAGCGGAGGGAGCGAACAGGGTGGTAGGGGGTTAGGAGGTCAGAGAAGTAGTGGGGAGCAAGACCGTGGAGGGCTTTGAAGGTGAGGACCAGGATGTTCAACTGCATCCTCTTGGTGGTGGGAAGCCAGTGGAGTTGGGAAAGGATGTGGGCGATAGGGTTGCGGAGCCTGGTGTAGGAGAGGACACGGACTGCAAAGTTCTGGATGATCTGCAGCCTGTGGAGGGAGAAGTTGGGGAAGCCGTCAAGCAGGGAGTTTGCATAGTCGAGCCTCAGTGTAATGAAGGCGTGTATGAGGGTTTCGATTGCCTGCGGTGTGAGGCAGTGTCAGAGCCGGGCGACGTTGCGGAGGTGGGGGGAGGCAGAGCGGGTCATGGGGCAGATGTGGGGTAGAAAGGATAGTTGATTATTATTATTATTTTCTTACTGTATTTCAGCTTTCTAAAATAACTGCTTTTTGATATGATGACAATAATAATATTAAGAATAATATTATTTGTTTCTGGGAAGGAAGGGAGGGAGGGAGGGACAAGGAATCTGGGATGAAATTCCACAGAGCAGGGGGCCCCGTTCCACTTGCTGACTTCCTGTGTGTTTTTTCTACATAATATATTGCTGCATAGATACATTATTTTGCTTCCTGTTTATTAGCCATGACATCCCCGACTGGGAGAGGACACATACCCCGAGTCACAGGTGGCGGCACGATGGGGAGCGAGGCACTGATAGCAGTCTCAGAGATTGATCACAGTGGGATTTATTGCAGCCCGGCTGGGGGCAGGCTCGCTGCTCTTACTGGGTAGATAGTCATAGCTTTGGTCTCCAGTGGAATCCGAACTCAAAGCCACAGTGATTCGAAATGAGCCCAGCCGAATGCCGACCACCCCCCCCCCCCACCCTAACCCCCACCTTACCCCCAAGGTTGTGGGTTCAAACCCCCCTCCCCACGTCAGGAGCTCACAGTTCAGGCTGAATTGTCTGTCGGATAAGACGATAAACCGAAGTCCCGTCTGCCTGTTCAGGTGCACATTAAAGATCCCATGGCATTCTCTGAAAAGACAAGGGAGGTTTTCCCGAGTGACTGACCCAACAATCCTCCAGATAAAATTGATTGTTCGCTTCTTGGCTGTTCGCGGGACATTGCAGTGAGCAAATGGGCTGCTGCTTTAGTTCACAAAATACACATTTTACAAGGAATCCTGTGAAGCGCTTTGAGATGGCCTCCTTAGGTGAAAGCCACTGTATCCAAGGCAAGGGTTATTATTATTATTATCCAATGCAAAGGTTATTTTTAGCAGTAAAGTACTGTGGGTGCAGTGACACCAACAAGGACCCCAACAACTCTGGGTATGAGCTGAGCAGAAATAACATCACCCGCTCTCATGATTAAATACCCTCCAATTACCCTGTTATAATGGCGCTAGACTGTAACCCAGTAACAGGAATTCCTACACAAACAACAACAAATTACATTAATATTGGTGCCTTTCACATCAGAAGGCTTGTCCCAAAGCACTGGACAGTGAAGGGATTGCACCCAAACTTGGGGTTAGAATCAAGAGAGGATGGAGGGCAAGAGGGTGGGGTGGGAAGATGACCAAAGGCACAATTGAGGAGAAAAGTCTTCAGTTTCAGTGGGTGGGGGCAGAAAGGCTGAAGGCCCGACCAACGATAATAAAGTGGGCAGAGCAGGGAGGCATGAGTCA